GATAGTGTTTTAGTCATTTATTTCATTCATGTATAACTAATCCATGGCTCGTTTATCTGTACAATCATGACCTGTCGATGCAGTGGCTTGTGCACGGGCCGGGCCAAGCCCTTTTTTAAAATCGAGCCCTTGGCTTTGGTGTGTAATAAAATGCTTTGGACTAATTCGAAAAGCAATTTTAAATTCCATTGTATGTGAATAATGTAGGAAAATGCAAAATTTCAATTACCTTCAACCTTGGACTTTGTGTTGCAACAAAAATAAACCAAATATGAGATGCTCTACACACACACACAAAGACACAGACACACACACACACACACACATCCACTTGTGCAAACAAATGAATTGAACAAACGTAAAAATAGCGCAGCGTTGCAGTTTTGTAAATTATTTTAGAGCTATTGAATTTCTACCAGCGGCGCAAAAATGTGTTGTCCAATTTTATAATAGTGTTGTGCGAGTGTGCATGCATAGACAAGAACAGCGACAACAATGGCCACGGAAACAGCAACAACAACAACGGTGATGTTGATGAGAAACGGCCACAACGATAGCGGCAAAAACCCAATCAAATATAAATAAAAATACGAAGCGCAGTGTGAAAATTGGGTTAAAAAATAAAGCATGCAAACTACCTTGACACATTTTTTCCGGCAGTATGCGCTTTCGAAAATATGTATGTATGTATGTATGTGTGGTGTGTACACAAAGCAAATAAAAGTGGCGAGCACTTGCATATATATGTATGTATGTATGTGTATACATATGTACATACATATGTACATACATATGTACATACATACATACTCTCATACTATCGTACTATGCTATAATATATTATAGCAATATCAGAAATCGGTGCTGCGTGCGTTTGGAAAGAACCGTCGACTCGTTGAAGTCCAATTTGTTGTTGTTCTTGCTGTTGCAATTGTAATAAAATCGTTTTTACGAAATGCTGAAATGATAAGAAGAACGCGCATACGCCACGTGAGCCCACAACACCGAACTCATTGGCCCCAATTACACACACAGATACTTACCAGTGTGCGTGTGTATGAGTGTGTGTGTGCAGCCACTTGTGTAAATGATTGTCCGAAAAATTTTCGTGTGCCTGCAATACGCTGATTAGACGCATTATATCAATATACCCACGAGCATACATACATACATACTTACATATACAAGTATAGTAAGCATATGGGTATTCATGTATAGTACGTAGCAGCCCATGGATTGCGGCCACTCGAGCCGAGAGGTGTGCCTCAAATAACGATCATGACGATGTGGGGCGTTCATCGCAGAAGGCGGCACTTGTGCCGAGTAACGCAATTAGCCAATTAGAAAAAATGCGCCTTAAATAGTTGTTCGCGCTGCAAAGTTTATTGACCAGCTGGGCGAAGGTTTTGCAGACGATGGGCATGCGCTAAGGACTGAGCCTCGGGCGCAACATAAATGCTGGCACCAGCGAACCAAAAAATAAAAGCAAATAATAATACAAATGGGAATAAACACCGACTTTCAAATACACTCATATCAAAGCCAAAAGCTGAAGCATCTCCGGCTCCTTAAAGTATTTTCTTAATCAGCGAAACGAGACGAATCGATCGATACATGTCCGTCCGTCCGTCCGTCTGTCTGTCCGTCTGTCTGTCTGTCTGGATGAACGCAAGGATCTCAGAAACTATAAAAGTTGGAATAACCAAAGTTGGTTCTCCTCGGTCCGAGAAAGGTCGAGTTTATTTTATTTTTGGAATTTTTCCCCCCTTCCCCCGCTAGAGAATTTTCTCAATACTGTCCATATTTCAAAAGCTACATTAACCAAACTTTGCACACAATCTACATATATACAATTCTATAGTTTTGTTTTAAATTTCATCCGAATGGGTCAATTCTAAGAAAACTTATTAGCGAAACGATTTCACTCCGGTACGCTCTTCTTCTTTTTGCTTCTGTTATGGGCGCATATAACTGAGTCCCAGAAATTTGTCTGGGTAGAGGGTATAACACTGTCGGGCTCGGTCGACTGTAGCGTTCTCACTTGTTTCCTTTAATTATCGCTAACTGCCACTTTTGAGTGCAACCCTGGACATTATGCTAAATTATAATTATATTTGTTTTTTATTTTATTTTAATTTATAATTAGGGAACACTCTTTGTTGTAAAATTTTACACTCAACATTCCTAATCTCTAAAGCCTCTTTAATTATAGTTCAGCTCTTTAGTTTCTTTGGAAATCTGTAAGACTGGCCTTTGTCTGTTGCATTTCGTGGCGGAAAGTCGAGAAACCCTTTTTGCGCTTTCATGGACTGAGGGCATGCGCTACGTATGTGTATAATGGAGCAACCACGGAGCTGGCAAGTTTAAAAATAATCCACAATTGACAAGCAGAGCGGCGAGCAGCGAGCAGCGAACAACGGCAGCAAGTGGCTTGAGCTTCTTGGGTTCATGTCCTTTTCATAGGATGGGACAGAGAGCGCCGGCCAATGATCTGACGATCTGGGCTGTTGCCAGGCCGGTCAAAAGCAACTGGCCTAACCGAACCTCCGATGCACTTGGGGCCGCTGAACTTGACGCATTTCAAGAACGTTCAATGGCATCGCCTGCCGACGCGTCGTTCATCGTTCATCGTTCGTCGCTCGTCGCTCGTCGTCCACTGTCCGCTGTCTGCTGTCTGTTGTCCATTGTGCGTTGGGCAACAATAGCCATCTCTCCGCACCTCGCTAACTATAACTAAAGCCATAGTCGAATGTGTCCACACATTAACCCTTCGTGGAAGTCAGGCAGCAGGCAGGCAGGCACAGTTCACTGACTTGGCTAGCAAGCAGGATGGTCACACTTTTAAGCTCTTCCTCTACAATTTTCGCTTCAGCGGCACAATGGAAGCAAAAAACAAAAAAATAACCGGAGAAATAAGAGAATAAATGAAATGAAATGAAATGAAAAAGGTTCGGCGACCGCAAAAATCGCCGTTGCTAAGGATTTGCAGAGCAACTAAATGCTCCTCTGGTTCTGGCTCTGGCTCTGGCAGTCTCCACAAGCCACTCACCACTCACCACTCGCCTCTTGCTGCACCTTGCTGCCATTTTCAGTTCATTGGCGTTTTGGGTCATTAAAATGTAAAGTCGTTGCACGCCAGTCCAGTCCAGTAAATTTTCAGCTGCTAGATAGTTCTAAGCAAAGGACCGACACCGACACCGACACTGACAAGTCAATGAACGCATCGGCAGGCAACGGGCGGACAATGTTCAAGGCACGCATGCGTCTCTGTCTGTTTGTCTCCCTTTCCGTCTCCTCATCTCCTCATCTCCTCGTCTCCCCCCATCTTCTCGTCTCTGGATCTACGTCTGCGCCGGCGTAGTTCAGCTCAGTTCAGTTCTATTTTAGCACATGCCTTCGCCCCAAGTTATTGGCCCTGAACTTGTTCATCTTGTTGGCGTTGGCAGCTCCAACTCTTATTGTTTTTTCTCTTGCTGCTGTTGCTGCTGCATCAGTCAAGTCAGTTCTTGGTAGAGCCCCTGGACTGGGATTTTTGTTTCTGGCCAGCCCTATCGCATGACTCACATCCGCAACGATTATATTTCGCAATTGTAACGGATGGGAACTGTCTTTTGGTGCAAGAAATCTTAGCAGGGCTATGATTGTAAGAGAATGCTGTGCCTTCTTGTGTTAGAAAGGGGAATATCAGTAAAAATAATCAAAAATCTCGCACAGATGCTGCGATTGCTATTATTTTGGCTTTCTTTTGCTTTAAATTCTACAACCTGACATCCTCTTCGCTCTTCGCTATTGGCTCTTGGCTCTTGGTTTTTCCCCATAGAAGCGATTGCACAAGATTGCCTCGAAGTTAATGTTGCATGTGAAACGTTTCTGACGAATTCTGCTGAATTCTCAGAGTTTTTATTTTAAGGTTTCCATTTCATTTGCTTCTGGGGCTAGCCTTGAATATTAACGTATACGTGTGTACAAATACACTTATATAAGTGTATACGAGTATGCCAAAGAAATCGCATCCTCAGCATTTCATTTCTACATACATGAGACGAGTGGAAGGCCCGACTCGAACCCAAACCTCAAGAATCTAAAACGAAAACAAATCTCAAAGTGTCTCTTGAAATTAAAGTAAATGTATGCAACAAACAACAACTGAGGAGTGGAAAAGGCAACAACTCTTTGGGTTTATCTGGAGTTTGGAGCAGTCTTTTAGCATCACTTGATTATTCAATGAAAATGCGCAAAGATCAGAGGGGGGCGGAGCGAAGCAGTGGAACGAAAAACTGATAAAAAAGTCGAGCGAGTGTTGATTACAAATGCGCACAGATGTGTGCATGTGTGTGCATGTGTGTGTGTGTGTGTGTGTGTGCAAATATATGTACATACATACATTGCCAAGTGGGAACAATGTTTCAATTTTAAATTTTACTTTCCGTGCCTCTTACACAAACATGGACACATGGCACCGCATACAGCGCATACAGCGTCTGATGTTCAAATTCCATGTTGCTGTCGTTGCACAATGGCGTGTTTTTCGAAAACATTCCACAAAAAGTGTATAGCTAATTGAACACACAGGTATACACAAACGGCGAATATATTGAATGGTATTCAACTAATGATTAGTATTTAGAGTTTTCTTCTTGTTGTGGCGTTTTATTGATTGCATTAAGTCGAAGAAACCTTCGATCCGGTAAAAGAAAATGTAATTCCCAGTCTATTTAGCTTTCTTCTTCCAAACTACGTTATTGGCCAATATTTATGCTGTGTTCTCTATTTATTGTGTTAACTCTACACTCTATACTAGCACTTCTATTGTTGTGCTTTAGTTGAATGACTACTTTCGATATTTATTGGATGATATTTATTTGAGAGAAGAGAACACTTAATTTTCCGCAATTTTTCCAAACTGTGCCACTGTAAATTGTGCGCCGTCAGCGGTCCCGTTTGCATTTCGCCGCTCCAGACTCGTTTGAAATTCTGAAGAAATTCCAGTAATTGACGAGCGCCCCTGGTAGGAAGACGTTTGCAGGGTTCCTATGTGTGCGTGTGCGTCTGCGTCTGCGCGCTGATTGGGAAAAACCAGTGGAAAATCCGCAACGAAAGTGAAAGCAGTGATGGAGTTGTGGGTACGTTTCAACGAGCACGGACGGACAACAGAATCGTCCCGATCACATCTACTATACAAGTAAATGCCATTACAGTTGACTATCTTGTTGTTGATACTGTTGGGATGCGTTCTGAGACTGTTCCATGGATTCTATCTGAACTGGTACAAGGGACAGGAGCCGCCTGGTCCCTGGGGATTGCCTGTGCTTGGAAATTTGCTGCAATTGGATGCGCAGGCGCCGCACAAATCGCTCCAGAAATTAGCCCATTGCTATGGTGGCATTATGGCCTTACGCATGGGTCGTGTGCGGACCATAGTGCTCTCTGATGCGGCCCTGGTGCGGGAGTTCTTTAGACATGAGGAGCTTACAGCACGTGCACCGCTCTATTTGACGCACGGCATCATGGGCGGCAATGGTAAGTTGGTGACCATAAGAAGAAAGACTTAGGCAACGAACTTGTTAATATTTACAAGTATGTTTATCAAGAGCCAACAACTAACTAATTGTAGTTAATTGCATTTTTGATGCTGGTTCTGTTTTGTGACTTTATTACTTTTAAATAAAACTGTGACTTTTTTCTCAGGCTTAGCATTTTAATTTGTTTTTTGCTCGGTTTTGGCGACCTTTCTAATGTTTACAACTTACAATTTTAAAATTGTTCTTTTTTTTGTTGTAATACAAAAAACGAATATGTGTATTTGTTTTATTGTAGTCGATCCAATTGTTGGCTCCCAATTTTGAAATTCGTTTCACCTTTTATGGGTTTCAACATTTTTGTCAAACCACACTCTTTGCTTAAACTTCTTGCTCTATGTTATATGAAGTGCTGATTAGTGTTCTTTGTTAATCATTTTTGTGTTCGATGGTTTGATTTACGTGCAGGTATTATCTGTGCCGAGGGCTTACTCTGGAAGCAGCAGCGACGTCACATCATCGACTGGCTCAAGACGCTGGGGATGACGCGTCGCTCAGGCTGGACGCGCGAGCAGCTGGAGCGGCGCATTGGACGCGGCGTCGACGAATGTGTGCTGGTGAGTGAGTGAGTGAGTGAGTGAGCTGCGATGGTGACTAAGTGGAGGCCATGAATGAAATAAGCAAGGCAGACACGCAAGCAGGCATTCAGCCAGGCAGTCAGTCAGCCAGCCAGCCAGCCAGCCAGCAGGCCCAACAGCCAGACAGCCAGGAAGTTGAAGAGACTTGCCGCGCATTCCAAGTCAAATTCCAAGAACCATGAAAGTGAAGGTCCTACCTGTTCGATTGGCAGCGCCGTTGGCGTTGGTGCTGCTGCTGGCGCTGACGTTGACGTTGAAGTTGACGTCCACATCGATGTTGTTATGTGCGATTCTTTACTCTGTCTGGACATTCACTTTCCTTTTTAGCCGGCCCGTCGTCGTTGCCGTTTTCATCGTCATCGTTATCATCATCGTCATCATCGTCATCATCATCATCGACGTTGTCTTTTGTCTGCCTGCCGTATGTTTTTTTTTCTGTAGCTGCGCCAACCGCAACGTCGGCGTCAACGCCAGCCGCGACTGCGCAGACGACGCATAAATTTAAAAATTTGCTAATTTTTTGTGCGTTGTTTTCTTTGCCTTCTTTATTTATTTGTTGTTGCTTTGCAATCTATATATTTCTTATTCGTTTTCCACCTTTCGCTTTCTGCACTTTTCATTTTCATTTCGCTCTTCTCGTTCTGCTCGTGCCTCAAATGTCAACGTCATGGTCATGGTCGCCGGCAGCTGTACGAGGAGGAGATGAGGACGCCGGCGCAGATATTTGATCCGCTGCCCGCGCTGCAGCACACACTGGGCAACATCATCAACGATTTGGTCTTTGGACTGACATATGCGCGCGATGACGTCACCTGGCGCTATTTGCAACAGCTGCAGGAGGAGGGAGTCAAGCTAATTGGCGTCTCGGGCGTTGTCAATTTCCTGCCCATACTAAGGTGAGTCATTCCAGAACATTCCCAATTGCCAATTACCGAGGGCAGCATAGAAGAAGTGACACAGAGAAGTCTGAACAGAGTCTAGTGTTGAGAGGTGCGACATTGAATGTTAGTTGAATGGATGCAGAATAGTAATCGGGAATAAGAAGAAGAGAAGCAAAACAGGAGATCTCTAAGCAAATACACATTTTCAAAATAGTAACTGGAAAGGAGCTACTTATATATGTTTATCGGAGACTTTGTTAAAAGGTAGACAAGTAGTTTGTGTAGGAACTTGACTTTTCTCAACATGCGTTCGTTTTCTTCATAGAACTTGTCTATCAAATGCTCAAAGCTTATATCGTTGGCAGAAATAATAGATTGATATTACAAAGGTACGTATTTAAAATTAATCTTGAGCAAGAGAGAGAGAGAGAGAGCGATAGAGAGAGAGAGAGAGAGAGAGAGAGCTCTGCTGTAGCCAGAGATAGGAGGGAAGAAAGTGTAAACACTTTCAAATTTGCTGCACCCTTTTTTTTAAATCTTAGAATCGTTTAAAACGTCATTTTTAAAGGTTTCTGCCCTCCAATCGTCGCACCATACGCTTTCTACTCGAGGGCAAGGCCCAGACCCATGAGCTCTACGATCGCATTATAAAGGAGTGTGAACAGAAGCTAGAAAAGGAGCAGAAACTGGGACAGAAGCCCAGTCGAGTGGTAGATGACCAGCAGTTGGAAGGCAAAGCAGAGCCAATGAGCATTCTAGAGCTTTTTCTGCGCGAACGCGCCCATCGCAAAGCGGATGAGCAGGATATAGTGTTCCATAATGCCTCACAGCTGCGTCATCTATTGGCCGATCTCTTTGGTGCCGGCGTAGACACTTCGCTTGCCACTCTACGCTGGTTTCTGCTCTACATGGCTCGCGAGCAAGACTGCCAGCGGCAGCTGCGTAAGGTCGGTGTTTGCTCAAAATCTCTTTGAAGCGCCAATGAAACAATCCGTTTGCCTCTTTTGTAGCAATTGTTGTCGTTTGGCGTTAAGCCCACAATTGCCGAACTGGAATCGCTGCCCTATTTGCGTGCCTGCCTCGCCGAGGTGCAACGCATTCGGTCTGTGGTGCCGCTGGGCATTCCACATGGCGCCAGGCGAGACGTCACCATCGCCGGCTATCGCATCGCCAAGGGCAGCATGATTATTCCGTTGCAGTGGGCCATACACATGGATTCGCGCACTTGGACGGTGCCCGAGGAGTTCCGACCCCAACGCTTTTTGAATGCCGATGGCGAATTCGTTGCACCGCCACACTTCATTCCTTTCCAGACCGGCAAGCGCATGTGTCCGGGCGATGAACTGGCCCGAATGATGCTAATCTTGTTTGCGGGTCGCATTCTCCGTCGATTCCAACTGTCGCTTGCCGGGGAGGTGGACATGGAGGGCCAGTGTGGCATAACGCTCTCGCCAAAGGACTATGAGCTGCAGTTCGCCATAGTGCCGGTTCATTATCACGAATAACCCAAACGGGAAACCGATATTTCATGAATACGTGTACGAGTTTATTTTGTAGTATATAGGCCCATAAACGTGTGACCAAACACATAGGATAGCAGTGATGTATGGAGGCAAGTTTATTCTAATTACCTGAACTTTAAAACTATACTATACTTACATGTATATTTTTTTAATTCGGAAAATTTTAAGCAAAAGAGGCAACATTTATTTAAAGACAAAATGTTTACAATTGAGTTTTCTTTTTACTGAAATAAAGCCATCAAAAACGGGATGGAGCGACATCCAATATTCAAATGTTCATTTATAGTTGTATTTGTATTTTTTATTGGGGCATTATATTTATAACCAATTAACGGTTATTTATATAAAACATATTGTGGATATATATATATATATTAACTGAAGGACAACCCGTTCCTAGAGACAAAGGCAAAGCTCGAATGGAACAGAAAAGTTGTTCACCGATTGTTTTAAGAAAATCTGAAAGCAACTTGTGTTAAAAGATTTGGAAAATAGCTTAGGTGTTCCAGCTAGCGAAGACTTTAATAAAAACGTGTTCAAGCAAACGACTAGTGTTCAAAAAATTCGTTCAACAGTCAAAGACTTGTTTTTACAGCACACAAGAATGTGTTTCATTTTATTTTAAAAACAAAAAATGTTGCAAAGGGAAAAATCACTCGTAAAAGGGCCGATTCGATTTCCGCTTCCGCTTCTACCCCCCATTACACGTATCCCATAAAATAATTGAAAGTACTTAGTTTTTCATAAATTCTAATCATTTATTTCCATTTAAATTATTTGTTGATTTTGCCAATCATTTTTTCTATTTGTTATTTTTGGGATTATGTTAAAACCACTTACAGAACTACGATATACAAAAAAAAATAATAGAAATATATTAAAACAAGTACATATCGTTTTATACTATATGTATAGCATTTGTTTGGGGTTCTAATCCTAACTAGCTCGTATGTACAGTGTAGAGCATACTATTTAAGCTAATTGTTTTTAATTGGCACATAGAATGTTTTCGACATCTAATTATTTTAATAAAGGTCTTTATATATATTTAAGAATTTGTGTGTGTATGTATTTGTATGTGCTTTTTTAAAAACTATTTTTTTTTCATTTTCATATTAATTTTTTGTAACATTTTTTGTAAAATGTTGCCTAATCTTTGTGCATACAACTAAACCACAGTTTGTTTTTTGTTTTGTTTGTTGGTCTTAGACTAAGCAAAAAATATTAATTAATATTGTTGAATAATTTTTGTTTTTTGTTTTTAAATACCATAGCGACAAAAAAAATTGCTTAAATAATTTGAATTTCATTAATGCTAGAAATTAAACTAAAACATTAAAATTAATTGAACACAGCTTCTTGGGGTTGAAAGAATAGAATTTGTTGCAAATTGAAAAATACAATATAACTACAAATTGTTTACTCCCGTTTTCAATAATGTTGTAGAATTCCGATTTCTCTAAATTACTCATTTATATCTCTACATACATATACTACGAATTGCGCTATATATAGTGCATACATATATACATATGTATAAATATATATATATATATATATATATATATATATATATATATATATATATATATATATATATATATATATATATATTTGTATGTGGGCATGTATGTATGTATGTATATATGTATATATGTATATATATACTGTTGCATGTTATGGCTAGCTTTCTTTTTTGTTTCTATAGATTTTCTCTTTCCGATGAGAAACTTCGAATTCTCAACTGCCCGCTCATAGAACATTTAACGACTTGCGTCTTTAGGTGTATAGGTGTGTGTATGTGTGTGTGTGTTTTTTGTTGTTTTTTGTTGTGGTTTTTGTGTTGTTGTTTTTTTGTTGTTGTTTTATTTTTTTGGTAGGAACAAAACCGTGCTCTGAAAGCCCTTCTCAACGCACCCATCATCTTTAAATCGCGCCCACATTGCGCAAGAGATGCGGTTCACTGGCGGTCGGCGCCAACGGCCTCCTCTTGAGGCACACCTTGAAGGCCTCGGGCGTTATGGTGGCGCCCACATTGCCCTTCAAACTGGGCAGCGGTTGGCCATCGGGCAGCGCAATGTCAAAGCAGTGCACAAACGAGGCGAAGAACAAGAAGAGCTCCATTCGTGCCAGAACATCGCCGAGGCACATGCGACGTCCCACACCGAAGGGTATAAAGTATTCGGGCTTGCGCACCTTGCCCTCCGTATCGATGAAGCGCGATGGCCGGAACTCTTCGGGCTTGTCCCACAGATTGGGGTCCATGTGCACGCTGTTGATCAGGGGAATGACATGGGAGCCGGCTGGAATTGTGTAACCATTCAGCTCGACATCTCTGTAAGAAAGCGGAGAAGAAGAAAAAGAAGAAGGAAGAGGAGAAGAAGCCAAGGCGCTTCGTTAGTACATCGTTTGAGCTTGTTGGAGGGGGTGGGTGGGCCAGTGGGGTGGGTTGGTGGGTTGCTAAAGGGGCTTGCTTGCACTGATCGCGTATTGATTTCGCTTTTGATTTGGATTTTTCTCGCTCGACTCACTACTCACTACTCACCACTTATCAGCAAGTAGTCGTAGTGAGTGGTGAGTGGGGAGAGGGGAGAGGGCAGTGGGGAGTGGGGAGTGGTGGACAGGCCATATGACGCTGACGTCTCTGGCATATTGAAATCAAATATGCATGACACTCGCCTCTAATCAACATCAAGTGCGTGCGTATATATGTACTTCGATAGATAAATATATATGCATACATATGTACATAGGCAGAGAGCTGATCTAAGTATAGCGTAGAGTGTATGTATGTATGTATATGTATATATATATATATAAATGTTCAAATCAAAACTGGGCCAAACTACGACGCAAAGATGCGCGAAGCAAAGGCAAGGAGAAGTGCTGGCCTGAGAAGCGCAGAGGAGCGACAAAAGGGGAGCAACGGCATGCACAATGTTGCAATGAATGAAAGCCAGTTTGTTGCTGTCGTTGTTCTTCTTGCTGCACTGTGCTTGTTGTTGTTGTTGCTGTTGTGATTGCTGTTGCTGTTGTTGCTGCGCATATGAATGCGAATGAATGGCAATCGTTAGAATTTCATTTGCGATGTGAATGAACGCGACGCGTGCGTTGATGGACACATTTGCGTAAGTGCGTGCGCACTATTCGGCCTTAGGGGCGCTTTGGAGGGTGGGGCGTCAGAGGCGGGGGGTGGCTTATCAGAGGCGTGCATTGCACTTGTACAAGTATTTCTACGAACTGCGTCTTACCTTGTGGGCGAGTGTGTGGTGGCCAATGGCACAATGCTAGAGCGTCGCATCGATTCCAGAATTGTTGACTCAGTGATGGGCAAGTATTGCAGATCCTCAATGGTGGGCAGACGATGGCGACCCACCACCTGATCCAGCTCATCCTGTACACGACGCATTTCTTTGGGATTGCGCAGCATGAACACATTGATCCACAACAGTGTTGTCTTAATCGTTTCCATGCCAGCCGAGAACAAATCAATTATCACCTGGACAAGTTGTTCCTCTGCACAACAAATAAAAATAGAGAACGAAGTAAAGAGAGTTGAATGGTTAGTTATGTAAGCATTATAGGGCGGAATTTGCGCTACAAACTCACCATGATTTTTGCCATCGAAGAGCTCGGCATCAGTGCCCTCGGCCTTGGCCTTCTCAATCTCGCACAGATAGTAATCAACCAGATCGCGTATATTTTGGGGATCGAAGCTACGCTTATGCTCATCGATCACATCCTGATAGAACCTTTGCATCTCAGCACGATTCTTGGCAATCTTATTCTTGGCCGTAGAGATGCTTGGAAAATATTGCACAGTCGGTATGTAGTCGACCGTGTGAATTTCTCCAAACAGACGCATGCCCTCCTCAATTAGAAAGTTGAAGCGACGGAATTTTGGATCATCGATGGAGAAACGTGTGGACATCATCAGGCTGCAGATGACATTGCTGACAGCCACCGAAATGACGGGCGATAGATCAACGGGCTGACCGTCGCTGGCATGCAAATGGCCAATGAACTCATGAACCTCCGTCTGCGGACACAAAATGTAAACATCAACAATTAAATCAGGATTATACGAGTGAGGGGGAGTGGGAGGATGAGAAGGGGGGGGGGGGCGGGGGGAGGCTGTTGCTGAATTACTAAATTGTTGTGGCTAACTCACCATAATGCGCTTCTGCATCTGCTGCTTGCCATTGCCCATGTAGGTCATCCCAAACTGACGGAGCTTGTCGTGCAGAAAGCGGCGCTGATCCTTCCATAGCTTGCCCGTGCTGTTGATGATGCCTGCAAGCGAGAAATGCCAATTGCATGGTTTTATAATGCGCGTATATATTTATAATAACAAGACGACGACGCACACCCAGTTGGGGAGCGAGCAGAAGGACGAGAAGGACGAGGAGGCAGGAGGAGATCAGAGACCACAGACCACAGACCCTAAAAACTTCCACCAAATACACGCACGCGCACACGCAACGCATCGGAAACTTTTTATTTTACACCTTTTAGTTGATTTTTAATGCCATGCATTTTTATTTAATTGAGGTAGGCTCGTATAAAATACAAAGCCACAACAACACCAACAAAATCAATGCAGGAGGTACCCGAGCGTGTGGCGTGTGGTATGTGGAGGGCGGCTGGTGGCTGGCGGCTGGCGGAGGCCAGAGGGCTGCCCTACTTCGGCAATTGTTTAACTTTAAGCAACAAAACGAAATACCAGAAAAGAAATCCCAATGCAAAAAAGTAAAATACAAACAAAAATACATTTTACCAAAAAAAAAAAAGCAAAATTGTTTTACAATCTCACATGCGAAACGTGATTTTGGGCTTTTGTGCGCGTGTGTGCATGAATGTTTGTTTTTATACAATATATTTCATATACATTTGTGTGTGTGTGTGTGTGTGTGTGGTACATTAACAATGCCTTATCAGTATCAGTGAAATAAGCCGCTTAAAGCAAAACTGGCGACAAAGAAACAAAACAACAACAACAACAGTCACATACAAAAAATGAAATGTTTCTTCACTTAATTGAGTTTAAGCCCAAGCTGCACATTAAACGATTTTGTTGTACAACAAACGTGCGCCGCTTGCTTTAATTGCATTTTATTTTACTTAAGAGAGTTTTTGCTTTTTATAAACATTTTATTTAGCAACATTCGTGTTGATACTCGTGCGTGCATGTGTGTGTGTGTGTGTTTGTGTGTATGTGTGCGCATTTTGTGCGGATTGCGACAAAAATGTTTTTATAGTAAACAACAATTTATTTCAATTTTTTTCTCTCTCTCTCTGCAATGTGACTTTTGTTCTTCTTTTTCTTCCTTTTTTTTTTTGGTTAATTTCATTTCTTATGGATTTTGTGCTCGACTTATGATGACGCATAGTTTGTGCCTAAAGCTGCACTTTTAATAAATTGAAAACTATTTTTGGCATTACGTTTCAAAGTTTCTTAGATCGTGTTAGCAAATTAACAAAAAAAAAAAAAAAACACTTGTCTTTTTTCAAAAACAAAATCATACGAGTATATTAATAATGGGGAATGTTTCCCATAATTTAATGACACTGCTTAATTTGTAAATAAACCAAACAGTTTACGATGCGCCTGCCTGTCAAAAAATACTCGAATTATATTTAAACACTTTTTGTATGCGCTGTTTTAATTTTGATTCTAAGACTTGAAGCTTTCGAACGCATTCAAATTATTTTAGGCTGCGTTTTAAATAAGGTTTTAATTCTGAATTGCAATTTAAGTATGCGTATGCGAATACATTTTATATTTTCGACAGCAAAAAATGTTGAGCTTTTACGAATTTCAAATAAAATAAATAATAATAAAGCTTCCCTTGGGCAAATATTTACAAGTAATGCCGTGTTTTTTGCATTTTAAACTTAAAACAAGTAGCAAAACAAACAGTTTTGAATTTCTCGATTCGGATTCGAAAAGCATATTCTGCGGTCCTTCTTCCCCATTCATATTTATATTTTTGTTCAGCATGTACTCACCATATCCGTTCAGCGTTTGCATAAACGGCGTGTCCGGTCGTCCTGTGAACTCCTCGCGCCGAAAGCACTCGCGTATCATTTTATAGTCGCTCATCACGACCGTCAATTGGCTGCCGAGTCGGGCGGAGAAGAGCGAGCCATATTGCTTGGCCAGCTCCATGAAGCGCGTGTGCTTCTCATTGCCCATGAACAGAAGATAGCCAATGATGGGCAGACCCCAGGGGCCGGGCGGCAGCTTGCGGAGCACACGATAATGCCGCAGGAGCCATTGCAGCAGGCTGATCAGCGCCAGAAAGCTGAGGAAGACCAACAGCAGATGCTGGGCGTCCTGCTGCTGCACTTGGAACTGCCGCAGCAGAAACTTTATCAGATACGAGTCGGCCAACATTTTGGCGATAATGGCGATATAGTATGTACTATATATGTGTACTATATATGTGTGTATGCCTGTCTGCTTATCTGTTCGAGCTCGGCGCTCGACTTCAATGTTTCGTATTTAATTTGCTGATATTTTTGCGTGTCTTTTATTTGTTGCACTTTGCGGCCATTTGTCACTTTTGCTTTTATTTTGGGCGTAATTTAGGCGCGTCGCATGCTCTGCACAATCATTTGGGATTTGTTCGACGAAAAAAAATTATCTGTTCATTTAATTTGTCGATAGTCTTGGCCAAAAGAGTTTTTAGTGTTTCTTGGCATTTAAATTCAATTCAAAAAATTGCAATTGTAATTTATCATATGCATATAGATGTATATATCTATATATGTGTGGTGTGGCGTTTAACGTTTTTGGTTTATATATTTAATTGGATTTAAAAAAATTATTATTATTATTATTATTATTTTTTTTTTTTTGAAAAAAAAAATAGTTGCGTGCTCGAGACCCGGAGACGATTTCGCGTCGAGCGTTTATAGTTTTCGACTAATGGCTCGTTCGTATGTCCTTGCCACTTTTATAACAACTCGGCCGCTTCGCAGAGCAGCGCCGAACGAGTGATCGACGGTGATCGCGGCTCGGTCGCTTGAAGCGTGCGCGCACTCGCCGACCGACAGCAAGCGACGCCGTCGTCTGCGACGTCTTTGTGCTCTGCTCTGACTCTGGCTCAGCGCTGCTTTGCTTTGCTTTGCTCGCTGTTGTTGCTGTTGCTGTTCATGTTGGTGTTGCTGTTACTGTTGCTGCTGTTGGTGCTGCTGGTGCGTGTGATCGCCGCCGCTGCTGCGACGGTAGCGGCAACGCGGCAGCAGCGGCGTTGCCTCCAAAAAAGCAGCAGCAGCAGCAGCACTTTGGCTCTGACTCTGACTCTGACTTGGGCCCAAACGTTTTCGACGTCGTCGTCGTCGTCGTCGTCATCGTCATTGTCTGCACTCTTGGCCTGGCTGATAGCCATAACCAAAGTTGAGCGCTGCTGTCGCCGCTGCTGCCAACAACACGCTCATATCATATCAGTAAGCTCACAGAGTAAGCTAACAGAGTCTTGCGATCTATCCTCGCCCCGCGCACCGCGCACCCCCACCCCCACTCATCACCATTCGTATTACCACCAATCAACACAATCGCCAGCGAACCCAACCGAACCGAACCGCACTCTTCAAGCTTCGTCGCAATTCCACTCAAGCCGCGCAACATGTTCGCCCCAAACATCGAACCGATTGCAACATGTTCAAGCTCAAGCTTTCGACTCAAACGCACGCTTTGTTTTGAGTGTAACTTGGCACACTTTTGGCTCTCTGTTTACATTTTTTAAATGCGCCCAAAGCTCAAAGCGCTCAAGGCGCTCTTCGCTGACTTCTTCTTATCACAGCAACAACAGCACCAACAGCAACAACAACAGCAGCTGGCACGGCTACATTGATAAGCGTGGGGCCTTGCTTGTTAACAGACTCGTGCAATTTACGGCGCGAATTTGGAGATGATTGCATTTAATAGTTTTCAAAATCCTACAGCATTTAAGAAACGATCGTGTGATAAAGTCAAGCCTTTAGATAACAGTAATTACTTTGATATTGTTTGTAGTGTTATTTTTATTGTATTCGTAGTAATCTATACAAATATATAGATACATATGTACAATAATGATGGTACAATGTATCTATGTATGTATGTATGTGATATATACATAGGTATACAGTATGTGTCGTTTTCACAGAATTTAGGGATACATCTAATAGAAATCGGACTAATTCGTTCTAAGCCGATTCCGACTCTAGGCCGTGAACAATCTTCCCATGTCTACTCGTATGTACTGGTCTGTGAAGAATTTCTTGCAGACCTAATCTTTTCCAAAATGAAATCCACACAGAATTTCATATAATATATTGCATATTAAGTACATTTAGTAGATTTTTTACTTACAAGTAATTATTCCTCTTCAAAAATGAGCCTTTATTTTCAATCAAAATTCATGCAATTGGCAGCATGGAAATGTTTTTGGTGAAAACAAATGAAACTAACATAAAAAACCGATATTAATCAGCACTAATTTGGTGATTTGATTAGAGAGTGGAATTGTTGAGTCTGAGTTTTATTTACATATGTATGCATGTATGTCTCATATAGGTTAATTTGATTAGTTCTGATTCCCCTTTCATAGCCACATAGGCGGATTATAGCTTTGCTGCTTACCCAAAACACTCCACAAAACTTCGATCTTATAATCGAGCTGAAGGGGGAAACTTTTGCACTTCTTACTTCCTTGTTCTATTAAGTGGATGGCTGCATTCATTTATTTGGAATTTATTTGGCAATCGACTGACGATCTGTCGCTTAGCATCATGTGCTGACATTTTTGATTTGGTTGCTCTCCAAATCACATTCAGTGTTCATTTACATTTAAGGTCAACGGCACATCCTTCAGTGAGCGCAAGGTGTGCGTGTGTGTGTGTGTGTGTCTAACAGTTGCAATTGTATTGTATGAGAATTTCAAAGCAAATTATTAAAATAATATGAAACGATCGCATTCTTGCTAAATATTTCTCAGCACGCCCGCCAAAGCAAAACTGACGTCAGCTGACAATTCCAGCCGGCCAGCTAACAAGTGATTCAAAAATAAAAAGAAGAAACAAACAAACAACAAAGAAGAAGACAGGCAGGCGGCAGACAGAAAGACAGACAGACAGACAGACAGACAGTCAAGTTCAAAAATAATATTAACAATAAAAAGCAAAACAGATGCAAAAAGAAATAACAATAACAACAGTAACAGTAACAGCAACAACAACAACAACAACACTAACGATGAAATCGATATCGAAATCGAAACTGAGAATTTTGAAACGCACAAAAAATAAAACGAGACATACTATAAATTCAAAAAACAAAATTCAAATGCATTTGTAATGAATTCTGCAGAAGTTTCGATTGCTTTCGATTTTTATTTATGAGTTTATTTATTACTTGATTATTTTCTGAATTGGGCTTAAGGACAAGGTTCGACCCTCACAACACGGAAAATATACTATAGTATATGTATACTCGTAGTATACCCATATATACATACATACTTAAATATTTTTGTGTGTCTGCGCAGAATTAACCAGAAACAGACGAGGCGGCTGCTGACGCGGATGGTGGCCAAGAAATGTTACGATCTGTGCATGCTGCCATTGTTCAAAGAGCCGCTCAAGAAGCTGAAGCGAAACAGATAAATATGGCAATAAATATAAATACATATGTATATAGTATATCTTCTTAACTTATCAACTTGTCTAAGAAATGCATTAGCGTACGAAAGACTGTATGCACAAATAACTTCCGAAATCATGTCTTCCATAGCAGTCGAGCCTCGTAGTATTGTTTATCATTCAAATGAAATTAAAGACTGGGCAACAGTTTGCGGCTATCGATGGCAATTGGTCATCTCGTCATCTCAGGCACCTTCTCATCTACAAAACTATTATCACATTCTAGTATAATCAAATGTTCAATGCTATAGTTAATAAATTATATTGTCCCTTAACAGTGTGAATAAAATGAATATGGAATATAAGTTTCATGGGATTTCGAGTGTAAAATTATCGAAATCTTTTTAGTCCTAGCGAGTAGGGACATCAAACTCGGTATGTCGATTTGTCTTATCCTTACAAAATTCAAGATTACTACAAACCATATATATGCCTATTATATGATCAAACTCCCATAGGATCGATCCTTGAAAATATAACTTTTATTGTGATAACTTTTGTGTTGGTGAGGATATCTTGAAGAAAGTTTGCACTTCTTCTGTTCATCGGAAATAATGCATTTTATGGTAATCATGATTTTGTCCGACTTACATTAGTGGATAGTAGCACCTGCCTACTACATAATACCTACATGTACGACAAATGCTCTGCTGCTGTTTCTTGTTTAAGTTTTCATTGAAAATTTTCCATTCAAGGGGCATTCGCCCCTTTAAGAAAACTGGTTCATGGAGTTTTAGAAATATTTAGTTTTCAATAACAAATATTTACATCATTGAAAAGCTGCTAAGCTAGGTATTGCCTAGACTGAAGATGTTTTTGAATGCTATAACACTACAGGCATTACAATCCCTTATGCATTGAGGCGAGGGGCAAAAAATATTGCTGTCAGTGAAGTTTCTTTTTCTATTTATGTATAAATGTACAAGATGGGACGGATATCCGAAGGAATCTTAATTGTGTCGAGTCTATTAGAAACAGAAATATTGCAAGATATATGTATTATTAATTGAAAATAAAAAAAATGTAAAATAAAGAGAAAAGGCATGGCGAAGGGCAAAACTGGGACGGATATCCCAAGAAATCTTAATTGTGTCGAGTTTAATAGAAACAGAACTATTGCAAGATATATGCATTATTAATTGAAAATAAAGACATTTAAAATTTAAAATAAAAAGAAAAGGCATTGGCCAGTCGGGAGATATGCCTTATTAATTGAAAATAAAAACATTTAAAATTTAAAATAAAGAGAAAAGGCAGGGCGAAGGGCAAAACTGGGACGGATATCCCGAGGATAATATTGTATATTAAATGAAAATTAAAAGAAATTTCAAAATAAATATTAAAAGATTCAATTAAAATAAAATAAAATTTGAGTCCGATGCGCTCTATACGAGGCCAGGCATCGGACTGAAAATATTTTGCTAAAAGCGTCAGCACATGAACGGGGAAACGAACAGCCTACCCTAGTGTTGTTCAAAAGGATCATTAGTATTGGGCAAGGTGTGGTTTCGGCTGGCTGACAGGGTGCGAAATAGAACTGTTTTCAATCGAATCGAAATCGATAACGATATTCTCGCACACTTATCATAAAAGCCAGAAATAATTCAGCAACAGCAAATATTTATGCAAATTGCAGAGTTTTGTACAATTCATGCGCCTTTGTCAATTTTCGAATATATTGTCAGTGCCAGTGTGTGTGTGTGTGTGTGTGGGTTGCGGCCAATGAACTAATTTGCATCTTTTCAAATTCAATTCAATTTTCGAGCCAAGTGTGTGTGTGCCTCTCCGTGTGTATTGGTCGATGCCTGTGTGATTAGTATACAATTATAATTGTCATGATTCTCGTCATTATTATCAGCAACAACAGCGGCAATAATCAAATGCTGTGCTCGGCAAAATAATACTCACATATCGCACAAAACACACACACACACTAACACACTCGGCAAACATGTAGTCATCATTCAACAACTTACGTATTGCTCTTGCTTGTTGGTGTTGTTGCTGCTTGTCAGCTG